TTCTGTGTGTTACTGTGTAACTGTGTTCTTGTAACTCTTTGTGTGTCTGTGTGTGCGACAGTGTGTATGTGTGTGAGACTGCTTGCCTAAGTGGGAATGAGTGTATGTGGCTATAATATGTGACAAGGTATGTGTGTAACTGTGAGTATATGTGACTGTGTGTGTGCAACTGTGTGCACAGAACTAAATGTAACAGTGCGTGTGCAGCTGTGTGCTTGTGACCGTATGCATGAAAACTGTATGTGACATATTAATCTGTGTGCATGTATGTGACTATGTGTATTTATATATATGTGTGTGTTTGTGTGACTGGTGGTTGACTGGTTGTGTATAACTGTGTGATTATATAATGGTGGTGTGTAATTGTTTGTCTATGTTACTGTGTGTATGTGATTGTGAGTGTGTCCATGTTTGTATGTGAGTGCATACATGATTGCATGTCTACATATGTATGCACCCGTAGTAGAAAGAGGATCCAGGCACTCTAAGTACCTTCAATTTTATTTATTTGGATAAGTGAGACACTGCAACGTTTCGACCCCTGAAAGGGTCTTTGTCAAGCTTTATCAAGCTTGAAAGAGAAAACACATAAAACATACTACATGCATATTTTCTTAGGGAATACTAAACTGTTATTTTTAATGTAGTGTTCATTTAAACTACATGTCCCCTCTCTAATGTAGTTTGTGACTCCAATATTACTTCTTCCTTTCTCAATCATGTTGCTCTTCCTCTTGTGTTTTCATTCCTCACCTCCTTTAGATAGTAAGCTCGTTTGAATAGGGTCCTCAATAACCACTTGTTTCTTGTTAACACGTATGATAGTTTATTTCTTAATTAATGGCAATAACCGCAATACATAAATTGGATAGTGTACATACAATGCGCCTAAATGTGGGCGATCGAATTCTACCTTTCACATGACCTACATTGTGTCATGTCTTGTTACTCACTGCTAATAAATAAAATAGCAATGCAGATAAACCTAATAATGAGTTAGTCAATAGAAAGTGAACAAGATATATGGCCTCTTACAAAATGCTTACATTACATTCTAAGCAGAGGTCCATTAACCGGTATTATTTTGAAGTTCACTTGATTTCAGGCTTTTTAAGAGAACACATATTTGAACACAATGTTTTGTGTTTATTACAGAGTTATTTTAAGCTACAATGGATCCTGTTTTGTTTCACACCCTGAACATGCTGGCATATCTCTGCTACAAGCTCTTCTGACACTTAAGTGAAGTTCTGCTTCTTTTATCACTTCACATGTTGTGTAATTCTAAGTTCATGTATCAGACAGTCTGCATGGAGTTAACTGGCCCACAGAGCTTACAATCCAGAAGGTTGCTATGTTCAAATTACGTAAGGCAACAGTCACAATTCCAGATGCTTTTAAGGACTCACATAAGCATAATTTATTATTAGAACATTATGTATAGGATTGTGCCTTTCTATGGTTCCTTTATCCCCGAAACCAATTTCATGTAGACATTATAGCTCTATGCCTCAGGACAAAATATTCCAGCCCTAGTGAATTAACATAACATTTTATTTAAACAAAAATATATTTTCAGTGTTTTGTGTAGACTTATTTAAAAAAACAAAAAATTATAAACATATATAAAAAGTTCTTAAAGGGACATTATATGCACACCATTTCATCTCAATTAAGTGGTGTGGCTGTCAAATCCCTGTTTGCAGGGGCTTCAATATTTACATGGCAGGGTTTAAATGTCTCTAGTGCCTGTTATTCTGACAGTCACTAGTGGTGATTCCTCTAAATTAGCAATGCCACATGATTGGTGCAGTGCAGTGTTTTGCTGGACATTCGCACTGGCCTCCCAATGTGTTCCTATGGGAATACATTGGATTGGCTGAGATAATCAGTCTTGATGATCTCAGCCAAGGAGGTGGGACCAGCGCTGCTAGGGAGAAAAGTTAAGTAAAATCCCCTTTCTCCTTCACAGTGGAGAAAGGAGGTGGTAACCTAACTAGTTAGAAGGGCACTATTGCGTCACGAATAAACATTGTTACTCCTAACGCTTAAGTGTTAATTTAACTGATCATTTATTTCCCATTTCAGTTTGAGCTTTACTGAAATGGGAGATACATTATCCATGTCTTGATAACAGCATATTAACTAGAAAAGCTACAATTTCTGGGGAAATTGTGTGAAGTGTTCTTGCCTCCACCAGTAGTCTACAACTGGAGTGGGCGGAGTAACTGGGTGGAGTGGCTTGTGTAACTGTTGTGTGGTTGGAGTGGCTGGAGTAACTGTGGAAAGGCTGGAGTGTGGTTCACTCACTCTACAGCAAGGGCAGAGAAGAGCTTTCAAATCTTTCAAATCCCTCGAACATTCCACCAACTGCCAACAGGAACTAATAGATTTCAAATAGGGCAGAGAAGAGCGGTTAACCCCTTAAGGACCAAACTTCTGGAATAAAAGGGAATCATGATATGTCACGCATGTCATGTGTCCTCAAGGGGTTAAAAACAAACTGCTCCAAATTGCTCATACACTGGTGGTTGCCATCTTCAAACGGTCGTATTTTAAAAACTATAAATCCTAAAGCGAAGAGCATAGTATGTCTCTCAAATATTAGAAATAAAGGCCCTTCAAATTTTTGTGGAGTGGAGTTTCAATAAATGTCAATGGACGGCGTGAGTTGCAAACGAATGGTCATATTGTGAAAACTATCGGGACTATGGCTTTGCCGTGGACATTTTTAGTGGCAGCAGGGATAGCTGAATGTTTTGATATAAGATTTGTGTAGGTGAGCTTGAAAATGAGGGAGTGGTGGCGGTTTAGAAATCATGTCCTGATTTTTCAGCTTTTGCCAGCTCCCACTCTAGTTTTGAACATTTCGCCATTCATTCCTATGGGACCAATTCCGCCACAAAAATGACGATATTCCGTGAACCATTCCGCGAAACGTTCCACAAAGTAATAGCACACCAATCGAGAACAATCCGCACATTTCGGTATATTACTGTCTATGTAGTGTAAAAACTGTGGGAGGAGTTAGGGTGGTAAATGTGGCTATAATAAGAATAACATATATGTGAGATAACATTAAGTGGTCTTGCTATGCAAGAACACTTAATAACACCCACAGGACTCCTACCTAGTCCGCTGACAATGATACAGGACTGAGTGTGGTGTGTATAGTGGAAATGAATTAGAATGTGTGTAATGGATGTAGTGTTTGTGTGTATAAGATACTGTTTGTGCAGTGAATACAGAGTGTGTGTTTGTGTATCGGATACAGTGTGTATAGTGAACACAGAGTGTGTTTGAGTAGTGGATGTAGTGTGTGTACAGTGATGTAGTGTGTGTTTGTGTAGTGGATGTAGTGTTTGTGTGTGCTAGATGCAATGTGTTTAGTAGATGCAGTCTCTGTAGTGGATGTAGTGTGTGTATTAGATGCAGTGTCTCTGTATAGTGAATGCAGAGTGTTTGAATGTGTGGTGGATGTAGTGTGTGTACTGTGAATAAAGGATGTTTGTGTAGTGGATGCTGTGTGTATAGTTAATGCAGAGTGTATGTTAGTGTAGTGAAAGCAGAGTGTGTGTCAGTGTAGTTAATGCAGAGTGTGTGTTAGTGTAGTGAATGCAGAGTGTGTGTCAGTGTAGTGAATGCATAGTAAATGTCAGCGTAGTAAATGCAGAGTGTGTGCATAGTGTAGTGAATGCAGAGAGTGTGTTAGTGTGTAATGAATGCAGTGTGTGTTAGTGTAGTGAATGCAGAGTGTGTGTTGCCCAATAACTCCAGCGAGTTACCAGCTACAAGCATGCCAGAGGCCCCTGGCACACTCATACCTAAAGGGGTGAAACCACTTGAAATAAGAATGGGTGTAGGGGCCTCCTGGTACCATTTTGATTAAGTTTTTATGGTGCCTTGAGTGTTCCTTTAATAGCAACCATGTGTACAGTGTAATGCCATACACTTTAACTGGCCAATCATAGAGTAAAGTACGCTCACAGGGAACCCTTACAGGCACATTATGGTTAGAAACAGCTTACAAACCATATGTTTTGTGTGTTTTACCAATAAACAACACATCTACAAGTGGTTGGTATCACTGCAAGCAGACATTACTAATGGACAGCCAGAAAAAAATTGCAACAAGTTTTTAATACGGTTATTAATTAGTAGCTGCTACTAACTACCTGCCTTTAATAGTGACAGATTATAGTAGCTAAACTCAAGAGGCAGCAATTAATCAGAGCACCTGTCTAGCAAAGACTTTTCATTGAGCTGTTTTGGGAAGTCTATGATTGGACAGCCCAGAAAGTCTGGACGGGCTTAGAAGGGGAGGGCTTCCATAGGCAGTGGACAGAGAACTGTAGGTTTTGCAAACTGTTTTTAGATATATCCCCAATGAAAAAATGCATGATAAAATATATGCAATTTTTAATTTGGGGTATATATAACAGTGATTTTTAATGAATTTTGTATTCGGGCAGGGGATGTCCTTTTAAGGTATCTGATGAGGTCACAGCATTGTGATGATGTCATTGACAGTTTAGGCTATATATATCTGCTGCACAGGACCTACCTTAACAGTTATTACTGTATAACCATGGCAGAAGAATTTGCAAGAGAGAAAAAGCAGATGTTTCCAGCTCTTTCGAGAGAAACAACACATGGCAAGGTGAATGGGGGTTATGTACTCACTAAATCCATGCACCCCCTGCCCATTTGACCTTCTAACCCAGTTCCTTTCCTTCTTATGCCCAATGTATGGCGATAAGATCCATATGGACCCCCCATATAAGTATAATAATTTTGGTGACTAATTTGATGCCTCATCATCAGAAAACATGAAATGGAATGTGAATAGTCATAGATGAGATTACTTTACCGATATATGCATGCATAAAATCGTTATAAATGATTCTCTGTTTTAGGCATCTTCCATTACAGCCAGGCCAACACAGAGAAATACGTCTTCGGGGATCAAACTCCCACCATGTCCTAATAATCGGATTCCGATGCTAACCGCAAATCCCTCGGAAAAGGTATACGCTACAATTTAAATCCATAGTCTGATTCATATTAGGAAGCGAACATTTTACAGACACAGGCTGTAAACCTGAGATTTTTTTTTACATTGTCATTTTCTTGATATATATATTTTTTTTTAGTTTATTGTGGATGTCATTCTCCAACAAAGTATAAATTATAAAAAAACAAATCACATTAATATGTACATATTACATATGTTCTGTAATCTACATTAACTGAATTTCTATTTGTTTAGGTGGATTTCATTAGAGCACCCCCAGCAGAACTATTTGTGGATGTTCCTTCTGGAGTGAAATTTCCCGTGTGTCCTAAACAACCTGTCCAGTTCTGTACCACCAAGCTCTCGGAAAAGGTATTTAATACTAATCCAGACGAGTAAGCAGATATTTTCAAGACAATTGAAATAGAGCTACGGATTGATATGAAGGGTTGTATATTTAATGCCAAACCATGGAAATGATCAATTAAAGTAAGCATTAAAAGATTTTATAAATTAGTATCTCACATCAATCATTAGTTCTATTGTAGATTATTAACTCTTCTACCATATAAAAAAATAGCTGAAGTGGATAAGCATTAGTCTACTATGTTTAACCTACTATGTTTAACCTTTCAAACAATCCCCAATTATTTCATATATTGGTTGTTTTATGCTAATGAGTGTTCTTCAGAATAGGTTTACAGAATGAGTGCACAAATGTTTTATGTTATAATGTTTTTGCAGCTTTATAAGCCAAGTCCATCATTTGACCTTGAGGATCCATATTGTCGTTTGATGAGGACAACCTACAATAACCTGCATGACCCATACTTAAAAGAATATTACCAGAGTAAAGTACCCCGACAACGGATACGTCAGCAGGGATTTATCACCAGTGATGATAAGGTAGGATAAAAAAAACAAAAACAAGCAACATGCCACTACCATTTAATTTTACACTAACATATTGCATACATAAATTTAACTGAATGACATTGAATTAAAAGAAAATCTCTTGTTTAGGTTGTTTGCTCTTTAAAAGAGTACAACGAGTACAGGGAGTACCTCTCAAGCATACATAGAAAGAAAATGAAAAACGTAAGTTGGATTCAGATTTATAGTAAAAACAGTCAACATAGTAGACAAAGTGTAATTTTCAGTGGGATGATATTTAGCTACTCAAATTAAAAACAATTTTAAAAAGATGAAATAATAATAATAATCTGTTTGTTTTTTAGAAGTTAGAGAAACAAGGAAGACAAAATTCGTCTTCTAACCAATGATGCTCCCAAGATTGTTAGAAAACGTACTTCTTAATAAAAGTTCATTACTACTTGACAATTTTGCCACATGTGATTTCCTGCAAAACAGTTCAAACATATGAAAATATGTCATCATACGAACATGTGGGTTAAAATATGAAATTTTATTTAAAGAAAAACTCTAGCACTATAACAATTTTGTCTAATTGAATTGGTTGTAGCGTCTGCAATCCACGGCACCTGTTCCATGGTTAATGTTAAATCACGAATAGTTTAACACCTAATGAGGGGCCTACTGCACATCCCTTGCTTGGAGTAGTTACACTCCACCTTAGCTATACCAGTGTATAGCAGCAATAGATGTCTGTGATACTCTGAGAGCCAGCAGGTGGCGTTCCAATCACTGCCAACTATTGCTGCTTGAACTAATGTTTAAGTATGAGTCTAAACAGTAGAGGGGGGCTGGACAGCGGGCGTCCAGGGACCTTCATTCAGTGTTTAACAAATTGAAAATGATTCAGCGCCCAGGTACTCCAGTGTTACTTTAACAAACAATATAAAAAATCATACAGATTGGCCTTTAATCAGATACAGTCCGAGGTGTTTGCTGGTACCATTATACACAAAGCAAATAAGCACAAACTTCATATTTTAACTCGTAAAATCGGGCATTCATGTCATCAGGGATTCTTCAATTGTGGATTAATAAAAATGATTTGAAAATTATATTTGCTTTGTTTCTTGGTATTTGCGTGTTGTTTCATGTGTATTTCTGCAAAGCAATTCAAAGAAAAATACAGATGTTAATTTTGATTGCGCTAACTGATTGGGAGTAATGTCTAAACACTGTACTATGAACTCTATCAATCACTAAATAGTAAAGACAAAAAGGAAATTGGGTGCACACCCAGAACATGCATTTCACAGGAATGGTGCTTCCATAGAGAGCAAAATATATACATCATACAGAAGGAACAGGGCACACATACAAATCTATTTTTTATTTTATAAGACTACTTGAAATCACGTATCTCAGCAAACAAATATGGGGATCCATGCCCACCATATGGCCATATCATATTGTGTTAAGCCCAGCACTACTTCACAGTATCCCAGTATCGGTGGGTCACTAATTCCGGTGTAGGAGACAAATCAAAGAGTGCTAGTGCTAAGTACGTTGCAGTGTATTTTAATAATCTGTTGTAAAAGTTCTTACAATAAAAATGAAGAACAGAAATTGGTAATTGTAAAACTCATAAGTGGGGGTGACCCCTGAGGAATAATATATACAAAAGTTCTTACAACAGATTATTAAAATACACTTTTGCTTATTTAGCACTCTCACTATTTAATTTTTCTCCCATGGTAGAATTAGTGTAGGACCCAGTGATATCTAATATATCTAATCATCAGCTTATCAAAAAGCATCCTATTTATCTAAATGTGTGTCCGCTTTTGGGCTATCCCATGAATATCTTTCTAAAATCTCATAATAAGTGCTAACCTAAAAGAAATGTACCTCAAATGTGCATGTAATAAAAACCAACAACAAACAGCAACTAGAAAAGCTACAATTTCTGGGGAAATTGTGTGAAGTGTTCTTGCCTTTACCAGTAGTCTACAACTGGAGTGGGCCAGCTCCCACTCTAGCTTTGAACATTTTGCCATTCATTCCTATGGGACATATTTCACCACAAAAACGACGATATTTCGTAAAGCATTCCGCGAAACGTTCCACAAAGTAATAGCAATCCAATCGGTAAAAATCTGCACGTTTCGGTTTATTTCTGTCTATGTAGTGTAAAAACTGTAGGAGGAGTTAGGGTGGTAAATTTGGCTATAATAAGAATAAGAATAATATATGTAAAATAACATTAAGTGGTCTCGCTATGCAAGAACACTTAATAAGAAACTAATGTTGTATTGTCAGCTGGCCAGCAGTGGCGGCTCTAGACTTGGCGAGGCCTTAGGCGAAACTCATACATGAGGCCCCCACTAACACCATTATTGGAAAAAAACAGCAGTTGACTTGTGTGTGTATAAGAAGCTGTAGATAGATTGAAGGGCGGGCTTGCAGTATTGGATATAGAGAACTAGTCTTTGTATACGTCGTTGCATTGTCTACCTGTGTGTGCCTGGCAGTGAGTATCTTTGTATATGTATGCATGTTTCTCTGAGCATGTGTATGTTTGTGTTACTGCCTGTGGCCTTTGGCATTAAAGGACCACTATAGTGCCAGGAAAACATACTCGTTTTCCTGGCACTATAGTGCCCTGAGGGTGCCCCCACCCTCAGGGTCCCCTTCCCGCCCGGCTCTGGAAAGGGGAAAAGGGATTAAACTTACCTTTTTCCAGCGCTGGGCGGGGAGCTCTCCTCCTCCGATCCTCCTCCTGGGCTGAATGCGCACGCGCGGCAAGAGTTGCGCGAGCATTCAGCCCATCGCATAGGAAAGCATTTACAATGCTTTCCTATGGACGCTTGCGTGCTCTCACTGTGAAAATCACAGTGCGAAGCACGCAAGCGCCTCTAGTGGCTGTCAATGAGACAGCCACTAGAGGAAATAGGGGAAGGCTTAACCCATTCATAAACATAGCAGTTTCTCTGAAACTGCTATGTTTATAAAAAAAAATGGGTTAACCCTAGAGGGACCTGGCACCCAGACCACTTCATTAAGCTGAAGTGGTCTGGGTGCCTAGAGTGGTCCTTTAAGTTCATGGCGAAGCTATGTTTTATGACAGTGTGTAGAATGATTGCCTTCAGGGGGTGACAGGGTGAGTAAAGGAGTAACTGTGGCAGGGTGAGTGTAAAAAGAGCAGGAGGGTGCCAGAGTGCGGAGAGTGGTGCCCGTGTGTTTAGAGGGAGAGATAGTGTGTATGGAGAGGGGTGACAGTGTGTGCGGAGAGAGGTGACAGAGTGTGAGGGGGTGACATAGTGTAGGGAGGTGGCATAGTGCGAGGGGGTGGCATAGTGTGAGGGGATGGCATAGTA